CCAATAAACTATCAGAGAGGCAAGAATTAGATTTGTAGATCTGAGTAGCACTGATTGTAAATGGTGTGTTTATAGTGTTGTTTTGTCACTTACTAGTATAATCTATGGTTTACCTTATCTAGTTAACTCTTATATGAAAATCAAAAATAATATTTATTTTTTTTCCAATGTAAACAGAAAATCGTTTTTAAAAAACAGTTTTGATCGAACGCAGACAAGATTTCTCATTGGTTATAGTTAACAAAAAAGATTAATTGTGTGAACAAACAAAGAAGTCTACTAAATAGGTCGGAAAACGTATCAGGCTTCGTTTTGTCGCCAATATTTCTTCACATGTTCAGGTGTAATAGGCAGGTAATCGAATAATTCAGTCACTTAGTTGTCTCAAAATTACCTATGTAAAAATATATATGTAACTGATAAGTGCTGTACGAATTTGTTGGGGACTTTAGATCCTCAGAACTCGCTTGACAAATGTTTTTATTTTGGATTTTATTCATGGGCTGATCAGTTGATCTTCAGATCACATTTTCCACCACGAAACTCCTTGGCTGTGATTGGTTACTGTGTTATTTTAGTAACCCATTTTTGTGACTCTCCCAAGGACGTTTCTATAATGTATAAATAAACGCGATTTGTGTGCCTGATTCATTATGCTTTCTGGGTGTTTTTAGAATACCCTTTCTACACCATATCAAAACTTTTTCGTTGTTTCTTTTGTGTCAACGGATCAGAGTTGCCTACTCGGACACTGGTTCATTATCTCGTTCTCGTTTATCGACTAAGGTGAACCCGTAATAGTTTCAAGCATATCAAGTGACGAGCAGAACAGAATTAACACTTCATAACATATATTTCTGACCATAAATTATGTTTAAGTAATTGAGAAAATAGAAAACTCCCAGAGAAGAAACAAAGTTTTATTCTTTTTTTTTGGAAAAAAAAAATGAAAATAGATAATTCTGTCTAAAATTAGGGTGTATATATATAAATATATATTTTGCTGTATATAGTTGATTCCACTAAAAACTCAAATACAATATAATTGTATCCTTTCTATCATTTCATAATATTATTTATTCATCATGCAGAATATATTTTGTCTGTGGTAGTATTGAGAATTTGATTAAACAAATTATTATTATTATTATTATTATTGAAGTTTAAATCGAAACCCAAACTTTTAAAATCAATTAATTCTTCATTGTTCTCATTTTCATTGCCATCATCATTGATAAAATCATCATTTTGGCTATCAATATCAATTCCACTTATTGTTGTACTACTGATCGATAATGATTCAGCAAATTGAGTAAATAATTCATCTAAATATTTTGCCTTCTTTTGTTTATTTGTCCAAGTGTTATTTTCATCAATCGTAGTAACATTAATTGGTAATAAATTCTTGATTCGATCATTTGCAGTTGAATAAATCATACTAAGATATTTAATTGGTTTTCGTATAGTGAATATTTTAAATTCATTCATACTGTCTAATTTGACAACAATTAATCGACCATTATAACCTAATTGTATGCTAATTGATGGTAATTTGGATGATTCCGTGAAATTAGATTCAATGGTATCAAATGGTGTTAATAGTGCTCTACCAATAATTGGATAATTATTACGATTATTATTATTATTATGACCTTGATTATTATGTATAATAACAAGCCATGCATTATGATATTCCAATGAATATAAAACACTTACAATGTATAATTTATCTGGTGTAAATTTTGCACATAATACCAGCGGATCATTTTGTGTACCAGGTATTAAAGTTGACGAATTCAATAAAGCCAGTATGCTACCACTGTGAAAATTAATTAATCTTAAATTAGCATCTATACCATAGGTGCCATCTAAAGAAACATCCATTAATTTATCGACAATTGTCATTTGATTAATAATTAATTCAGTATTTTTATTTTTTAAATCTAACACTGTTATATTGATCGTTGAATTTTCTTGTTCTAACCATATATATTGTACAATAACTTTGGTGGGTCGTGTTTCACATGTAAATAAATGTTGTACACTTGGTGTACGACAAAAATCATCACGTTCTTTTAATAATTTGTGTAAATTTACTTCATATAATAATTTTTTAAAATCTGGTGCTTCTAGTATTCGTATCCATTGTCCATGTTCCCCGCAACATAATACCAAATATTGATCATTGAATATAATTTGTGTACCTTTAATAACTGGATGTTGTAAAAATGAATATCCTAAAAATCGTCCATTTGTAGATGCATAACGTGATAGTAATGCTTGTGGTTTGTCATCAACTTTCATCATTGAAGTTTTATTTTGAAAGTCTTTCATTGTATCTGTAAAACTAGTCAGTTTTGTATTACTAGCATGATCTGGTTTCAATGTATAGATACCATATTTTGTTGACATATGAAATATGAATTCTCCTATAATAGATATTTGACATCGTAATCCAGTGCCGCCAATTTTATTGTCTAAATCATATAGACGAATAATTGTTTGATCATAACCCATACCTGGTGAGTCATTATTATTTTTCTCTCGTAAAGATGTATAATAATTTATATTTGGAATTTTTGGTTTCTTATATTGTTTTTTTGCATTATTCAATTCTGCATAAGTCAAATCTGCGGAATTATCGATTTTATTGTCATTCAATGTACTTTTAACACGATAAACCAGTGCTAATCTCTTTCCATCTGAACTTAAATGACGTTCACATGGTGTATCTTCCACTATTGGTGTCATTAGAAAGTCTGTTTGAAAATTATTCATGAAGGCATCCAATGAATCTGTTTTAGAACATTCAACTGAGATAACTTTTTGTGTTAAAAGATTATAATAAGAGAATAATTGTTGATTACCAATTTCAGTTGAATAGACAATATCCAATTCAGAATGATAATTCACTTTAGATAATTTTTTACCGATTGGTGTTAATGCCATTGGTCCTTGATTTTTTGAACCCGATATTAATACATTGACACTTGTTAAAATTATACTTCCATTTGTTACAATTATTAAACTGCCTCCTCGTATAAAATATGCTTCATCTATAGAAGTTTTAAATGCTTCTATTCTATGTATTTTGACAAATAGATTTGCGCTAGATTTATTAGTATTGATTATTGGTCTAGTCATAGTTACATTGGATTGTGTTGATTGAGTAGCATTCAGTTCAATTAATTCAATCCATGTTTTCTTATTAGATGATTTAACAAAATGTATTAAAAATGAACCGGTACTATCTGTACCAAAGCGTATTTGACTGTCATGATAACCTTGTAGACCAGTAAGTAATGATCTTGAATTGATTTGCCATATACCTATTATTAAACGATAATCATTCAAGTTATATAATGCAGCTAAATACTTTTCATCTGGTGATAGCCATAATTTTTCCACACTCACTTGATGACGTGCTTGATCCAGTATATTCATAGTCTCTGAATCCCATTGAAGTGGATTATAATGTTTCTTTTCCAATGATGCTTCTGATTGAATAGTTTTAATATTTTTATACAAATTTAATTCAAAATTTGGCTTAATTGTACGAATCTCTTTGCTTGATATCTGAAAGTTGAAGTTAAAAAAATAATTTTTGTTTTTGAAAAACTCTATGCCTTAGTCAACTATTTATTTTTTGTTTAATCAAACAATTTTAGAGTAATATTTAGTATCAAGTGATAAACAGGAAACTGAACAAACATGTTTCAAGTGATATTTGTAAAACAGTTGTACTGTATTACGACGTAACCAATTTTATGACCAGTCTATTTGTTGACTCCAATTACAATGATATACTGTCTGGAAAAGATAAAGGATTTCATATTGATCATAACTTATTGATTTGACTCTAACTAAAAGACTCAAAAATATATACTTTTACTTATTAATTAAAAGAAAAACGGTTTGATTTTATTCGGTTTGGTTTTAAATTTGTAAACTTTTTATTAGAAGCCGAAATCCAGTTACTGAATATAACTTACTATACTTATTCTTTTACTTATAATATTTGTGTTAGCGGGACATAGATGGAAATAAAGCATGACTGCGTTAGTTGCACGCTGATTGGCTAAATCTAATCCAATCAGCGCTAGTCGATACGTGGAGTACATTCCAGAAGATTCTTATGTAAAAACTATGAAGATACTAACGTTGTTCCTGTTTCGCCTTCGCTTCGGCTTCTTACTTCCATTTAACCTTACTATTTGGAATATAATCTTTTTCCTGTTCCACCGTGTTATGATTTGGGGACTTGTCGAGTGTATTGTTGTTGTCAGAAAATACTAAGCAGTAGGAATAGCTGGGTTTACTAAGAGAGATTTATGTCAATTTGATATAAGAACTCGTAGTGAGTACTTCACAAATTTCCTGTCTTAATTGCGTAGTGTATGGAATATCGCACAAGTAGTACGATTTAAAACAGATCACAGTTAAAACATGCCAAAATCTCATAGATAGAAATATAGAATTCCTTTTAGTTGCTTAATAATTTATATTACTGTTATTGAAAAAAAACCCAAGTAAAACTTTTAGGATTTTTTGCATTTAAAGTTTCTCCACTTTATCTATTCGAAGTATACACCGAAAAAACAATGAGAAAATTGTTAGTAATCACATCTACTCACCAACGTTAAATCAAATCGATAAATCTGACCTAAACTTTTACATCCAATAAGTAAATTCTCTCCTCTTATATTTGCTTGAAATGTAGCAGGTGCTAGAGGACACTTTATCCAAGCTGCAACATCATTCAAAGCATTCTTTAATCTAATTTGTACAGAATTACTATTGATATCTTTTAATTCATTTGTACTATGTTGTGATTTTCTTTTCTTTTCTATACTAGTTTTCACTTGAATTGGCCATCTTGAAGGTCCAAAATAAATTCGATCCGTTGGAGATAAATAAAATGGCAACGGGACTTTAGACAGTACACCAGTGATTGGTTTTAAATTTGGTATAGAATAGACTGTTGCATAATCTTGACTGACTGTATACTTTCCATTGTTACCTTTTGGTTCACATTGTGTTATCAATACACTAGATCGTGTGATACATAAGATTTTCAATTGACTAGGCAAGTTAACAGATAAATTACCTTCAACACAACCTAATTCTAAGTTAACAGTTAAAATGCCAAATTTTTTATTATCTAATACCGCATTTGTGGAATAGGTTAAAAGAACTAATTGATTTTGATGTATCGGCATATGAGCTTGATGAAATGCGTAATTCGACCATACACCAAGACTTAATGAACATGATTTAGTCAGTGAATTCACTTCCCACATATTGATGATCACTTCATTACTATTTACATTAGATTCATCATGATCGAAATTATTGATTGGATTCAATGTTAAAGTAAATAAAAATCGTAAATCAGATGATATTGTAATGATTTCTTTCATTTCTTGTTGTTGTGGTTGTTGTAATTGTTGTATTTGATTAGTTGATGAAAAAAATCTTGTTTCATTATTCTTATATTTCACATTTAATAGTTCAGGTTGTAATGGTGGATTATAACATATAGATAATAATGGTAGTAGACAATTGACTTTATTTGAATCACAATCAATACTGTTCAATAATTGCCGACCTAAATTCACATATTCAGTACCGATTAAATGTCCAATACGTCCAGCTAATTCAACATTTAACAATGTTGGCACAATGGATAGTTTGGTTGATAAACTTCGTAACAGATTTAATAAGTACATAATTTCATCATTTGTTCTCAGTTGATTCAATTGTCTTAAATAATACAATTCTGTGATAACATCATTTGGTCTTAAACCTAAAAGTAGTTTACCTAATAGAAAATCAAATGAAAATATAACATGTTTCAAAAGTTCTTGTACACTATCTGAACCTAATTGTAACAATTGATAGGGTAGTTCTGTAAGACGACGTGCATTACAAATGTAACGCTTATCATAAGTTCCAGTAACAATACCAGAATTCGATTTAATCGATTTCTCCATAGCTAACCAATAATACACAGTATTGAATAAATCTTCATTCTGTTCTACAGCACTACTGTTTGTTTTCAGTTCATATGAATGTCCAGTTGATTTTGGTTGTTGTTCACCACCACCATCATCTTGTCCTCGATTAATACCTAACCAATAATCTGATAAATATCGATGAAAAGTGAATTCTTTTGGAATAGTATCCATTTGATTTTTATCAAAATCAACATTATTCTCATTAGTTGAGAAATCATCGATTTCTTCTTCTTTCAATGCATAATTTGAATCATTCATATTGAAACCCCAAAATTTCAATACACCTTTACGAAAGGATTCTGAAGTAAACGTGATCAATAAACGATTATCTGTTTTAGTAAACATTAAATATTTCTTGAGATCATAAATTGGTGAATAGATAAGATGTTGTAAACAACCAATTGGAAAATGTTTAATTGAATGTATTTGATTTAATTGTATTCTTGCTTGTAAAACATCTGAATCATTTTGTAATATTTCAATTAATTCAAGAAATGTTAAACCAAAACGTGAACATGCAATATATGGCATAAAACGTAACAATGCTACACTAAATAAACCTTTTTGTTTTAACATAGAATGAATTTGTTGTAAACGTATCACAAATAAACTAGATAAATCAGTTGGTAAATTATCAATTGACATAAAATTCGCTTTATCAGTTGTTAATTTAACAGTGAATATATCAGCTAATAATTGAATATAATTTGGTGTGATATTTTTTTGTAAAGCTAAATTAATCAAATCTTGATCAGTTGAAGTCAATGCAAAATTCTTACTAATTTGTTCTTCATCCAATGCTTTCAAATTAGATTTTATTAATTTTGGTAAAATTTCATTCATAACATATTGAGTTTGATAACAAGCTGATAAACTGATACAACAACCTTCACCAAAACGTTTATTAAAACCTTTAACAATTTTTTCTGAACTTGTTGTCATTAATAAACGAACATACGGATTTGGTAATTCATATGATAACCAATGAAACATTTGTACATGTTCATCTGGATAAAGATATTCAATGTTATCAATAATTATAAGAATTGGTTTTAATGAATTCGCATAATTGAACATTGTATTTAATAGGCGAACAGCTTCTGCATATTCACATAAAGATTTAATATGTTGATGTTGTAATGAAAATTTCATTGCTAATTGTTCAATAATTTGTACTAGAACTGATTGTAATGATGTTGATAAACATGTACGACTAACACAGCATACAATAATTATTGGTTCAATTTTAGTTTGTGATGTAGATAATGTATTTGTTAGTTGAGTTGAATTAGATGTTAATTGAATATCTGTCTCAGATTTAGAATGAATATGCTGTAATATATTGAAGATGTATTAAATTATTAGTTGAACTATGGATATCATTCATTAAGTAGTCACAGGTTATATTACTATTCTTATTATATTCTATATCAAATATTTGAAATCATCGTTGGCTAACTTCTGATGTTATTACAAAGTGAGGTTATTTGAAATAATGAGATAGAGGAGGTTTTACCTCCAAATACTCTGGTACAGCTGAGAGTGAAGAAAGTTTGCTCTTTCTCTCTCTTCAAGCGCTGTCATATAGCCATGCGTATGTAGTCACTGCCAGCGAAGTCCTACTCACTGCCTTCTCTCGATGCAAAAACTCATCCTTGATAAATGCCAAATCTTGCAATCATTAGTACTAATGTTGTGCACGAAAACTCAGGTGAGGGCATCAACATATATATTTAAGCGAATATTACAGAGTTGTTAGGCATATGTACAAAACCTTCCCGTGAAATCATTATTTGCAAACTAATCCTTATTTGTTTCAGATTTCAGTGTTCTTTCATTTAGACTGTTCAGACTTTAGTTCAATTTACGTTACCTACAAATCGCCTTCTGTTTCATTCTTTCCTTCTCGATCTTTTCCTGTCAGACGTTTGATTTCCATTTGATATCATATACTACTTATGTGAACATAAGTAGCGTACACCACACTATGATCTTTAGTTTCTTTTAACTATTATATTCGCCCTTACGTTTGATAAACCTAAATGGACATGGGAAGCAGTTAGCTTAGCCAATGTCAGACTGATATACTTATGGTTAGTGCTTATTTATATGGATACAGACTGATTCGGAAATGGTACGGTGACTTAGGGTAGGTGAATAACTCATTGATTTAGTATAATTTCCTTAAGCTTGGATTCGGTTCATTCTAAAATGTTGCACATTATATTAGTTACTTGGTTTGCTCAGTAAATCTGTTATTCATTCAACATAGCTATGTATACAAAGTGGTACTTAGTGGTATTTATTCTGGGGGAAATAATCCTTTCATACATAAACCTATTTGTTCGAATATATTGGTCAGAAAATTTACTGTTATAACATCCGAAGAACAGTAAATATCATTCCGAAAGCGGATTAAGTGTACCCATCATGCGAATAGCAGATATTTTAGGTAATAAAGATTCAATGATATCAAACAAAATATATTGAACACTGAATGATCAACATATTTACAGTCTACTTGTTTCAGGACTAGTAAGTGTTCTAGCTTTAACGAGAAAATATCACATCAAACAAAGAACTTCACTTTCGTTTTTACAACTAACCTCAAAATAATACACTGTCCATCGAAGTAAACTGGATTTCCCACAACCTGCTGGTCCATAAATTAATCCTGGAAGCTTTGAATTGCCAGTTAAATAGTTTTTAATAATATTTGTTTCTCGACTACGTGTTTCAAGCATTATTTTATCATTCCAACTAGGATATTTTTCATTCTTATTTGAATCAATTTGGTCAATATTCTCTGTAATATATCTATGATGATGTAAGTGAACGCTTAATTCTTCAGTTGAGTACATCAATAGATTATAGTGACTTTCTGCTTCATTTTCATTACTCAATTGTAATTCTTTATTAAAATTTGTTTCCCCAAATAAATTAGCAATACATTTTTTCAGTAATTTTATGATTTGATCAACAAACACAACTAAATAATCAATCCATGTCATATCATTCAATGTTATAGGTTTATCATGACGTGATTTGTTAAATTGTTTCATTTGTAAACGTACCTTTGTTAGTAATAATTTTTCTGCATCTAATTTTGCATAAATATCAGTTGATTTTGATGATAAATCAGTGAAATAGTTTAATACATGTATAGGTACAGTCAATTTAATGATTTGTTCTTTGAACAAACGTTTTTCTAGTGTATCAATCACATCAAAACACTTCAGCATTGATTTCTGATCAGGTATTATTTGTTTTGTTTCTGATGAATTAGTTAATTCTGTGAATTCTACGAAGTTGTCAAATAGTATTTCTTTATTTTTGATATTTTTTGTAGCATTGTATACATCTTTGAGATTATTTGCTGAACGAATACTATTAATGCCTTGAATATGACGTTCTATTAATATGCTACATTTTGCTAAATCTGGACATTTTTTGAGTAGTTTTGAATAACGTTCAATATCTTGATTCAATTTTTAACATGAGAGAAGATTTTGTTGAACAAATAATCAAAATTGAACTTATGAATTGTTCAAAATTATTTAAAAAAAAAAATAATAACCTGTATTCAATAACGAACTTACATGAACTTGGTGACCTATACCATTTACTAAAGGACTAATAATTTACTTATTTTAAGTTCAATACTTTTCTAGATTTAAATTAATTTGTCTAATAATGGTCAAAAGTTATATATGTGAAAAAAAAATATTTTAATTGTTAATCTATAGACAGCATTACTATTCTATACGGATACATATGTGAAATGTACAATATTTTACTAATCTTTCAAATATTTTGAACTACTATTTTCATGGTGAATTCAATGAATCAGGTATTTAAGTATTAGTGTAATCAATTATTAAGGAACTATAGAAAATAAGCATTTATTATTTATGACCCTTTGATTTTCAGGGTTCATTAAATAACTACTTAAAGTAAATTATAAGTAGTAGGTTGAGATGGATGATGTAACACAAGTAATGTATGTTTTTCGAAGATCATGGGAATCCTTTTTTTATTTTATTTTAGGTAAAAAAAATATGCCATTTCTTAGACCGCTGTTTGTGAGATTCATTGTTTATTGATTAACTGTTGAAAAACAGTAGCACTACATTGAACATCATGATATACATTGTGAAGAAGTTCTTTTTTCATAGTTACTGATTAACTAAACTTATTCATCTTTGGAAAGATGACGTGAAAAAGAATACCATATTGCATACAAACATTCAGAATTATCATTAAACTATTTTTAACATTTATCGCAAAACTAGCAACTTAATAATCTTGTTACGCTCGTCTCTAGGTATGCTTAAACTATTAAGGGTTCACCTTAGTCGAATAACGGCAACAAAATGATGAACCAGCGTCCAGGTAGGCTATTGTGATCCCTTGACCCAACTGTACCAGCAAGAAGTCTTGATATAATGTAGGAAGTGTATTCTACAAACACCCAACCAGCACACAATGAATCCAAGCACTCAAATTGCGTTTATTTATACTCTATAGAGACGTCCTTGGGACAGTCACAAAAACAGCACACTAAAATGACACAGTAACCAATCACAGCCAAGGATTTTCCTGGTGGGAAATGTGATCTCAAGGTCAACTGATCGGTCCATGAAATAAATCCGAAATAAAGATATTTATCAAGCGAGTTCTGGGGATCTAATATCCCCAACACTCCCCTTTTTAATAGCGTACGCTCCTGAGGTCGACTTGCATCTTGACTGTTGTTCGCCGCTGTCTGAGAGGATAATTTCGGGAATGGAGATCAGATGACTGAGTTTCTTCTCTTGGGGGGTTGCTGGTATGTTGAAGGTATCAAGCAGGATGTCAAGGGGAAGATTCTCTGCTCTTGATGGACGACCTGGGGCTAGCCGTTTGCGTATCTGGTTTCGATGGCGTGGCCACCTTTCACCTCCGACCTCTACTTTGTACATAACTCGCCCAACTCTTCTGATCACTCGCGCTTCTACCCAGGGACCATGATTTGTTCTGTAGTCACGGGCAAACACAGGGCATCCCACTTCGTAATAGGATTGTCTTTGCTGCTTTGTCTCTACTGATGTTGGTGCATTAGTCGGATGCATCAGGCTGTGGATCGTTTTCAGTCTTCTTCCCATCAGGATTTCTGCTGGGGACTTTTGCTCCGGTAACAACTCATTTAATGCTGTTCGATAGACTTACAAGAAATTTCGTAATGCGTTGGCCGCTGTCCCCTCACCTTTTGACTCGACCAATGCTCTTTTAAACGTATCCACAAACCTTTCGCCTGCCCATTCGATTGCGGGTGGCATGGTGGCGAGCGTAAGTATTTAATAGCTAGCCGTTGGTAGATTTATACATTTATAAAAATATATCTCATGTTACAACTGCAGCTGTTATATCGACATTTTTTTCAAATATTTGTACAATATTGTTAATTTTTCATCGTTTAAAATTGTAACATTATTGTACTGCTTAAGGTCAATTTAGTTTTGTGAATTGTACATTTATTTGATAGATTTAAACAAATACTTTAAAATAAGATTTGAATAATTCTAACATTATTTTAATTCAGTTAAATGTTTTAACGAACATATATTCTCTTTTTTGTCAATATACAGTAAATTGTTTATTTTTTTTCAAAATATCGACAACACTAGTTTATTTATCTATCTTATCTAATAAATGGAATTCGAAAGAAAATCTGCAATAAATCATGAAATGGTTTTAACTAATGTCATGGTGAAGAAGCTTTTTTTTTTTTATAAAAAGCAAACTTCATTTCAGAGATAATCACCGTCACGAAGTGATGTCAATTCGTGACGAGTACTAATTGACAGGAAAAAGAACAAATTACCGAAAAAAACACATTCAGAAAGACGAATGTCTGAAAGAGATTTTAAAGGATTGTTATTTTTCTTATCCAACTAGTTCTTTCTTAATGGATTTAACCTTTTTCACACCATAATTCTGTCAGATTAGATGTTTTTAAATAATATGCACTTTTGATTGTATGTTAATGAACAAGGATTTATGTTTTGTTTCGATTTGAAACTGACTGTGCATTATTTAATCAGTAATATACGAGTAAATTTTTCAAATGTCAGGCTTTACTTCACTGGATTGTGAAACATAGTTGTATTTAGCTGATTAGTTGTTATGTCTTTAGTGTTACGGGAAGGAAAATTTTGTGATTGAACTTCATAGGTAATGTTAACAACGTTCAGGCTACACTACACGGCTTAGAAGTCATACAACATGAATGTGTGATACATTAAATCCAGTCAACAAAGATAGGATTTTCCTCAAGTCAGTAAGTCAAGTACATTCTATATAGAGTCTGTCGAAAATGTGATTTAGCCTAATTTTTAATATTGCATTAGCAAGACAGTGTGAAATTGGTAGGATGAAAAGCAAAGAAGTAGAAATAATGGTAGTTTCATTGTAAATGTAAAGCATGAAACATTAGAAAATATAATTGGAAAAAAGTAGTTTCTCCAAAAATTAAAAAGAATGATATATTGTTAAACGTCAAGACTGAAGGAAAAATATATAGTGAATGTATCTACTTTTCGATGATTGATTTAGAGTCATATCAATCAGCATCTTCAGACTTCTACTGATGGTTATCGCATGAATCCAAACCATGAAGTCTATGCCTATTGACATAACTCAGATCAACTGCATGTGATTTTATAAGGTCATAATTCGTCTAGATATGGCCATGATTAAGCTGTGTACAACCTATCTCTACACTAACCGAAATTACACATTAAGGTAGGTGGTTAGGGGTAGATAAAATGTGTCCCAACCACTTCATTCAGTGAAGATTTACAACCTCACTAACTGAAATGCCATTTTGTCTAGTACTCCAAGCATAACCTCGGGACTGCCCAACTTGATCATCTCACGATATGCAAGGCGTGCTTCAAAAGCACCTATAATCAGAATCCTGTATCTCACGTATCTCTCACTAATACAGATCATGTTTTAAAGCAATAGAGTAATAGGAGGCAGACTACTGAGCAGTACACTCCTTTCTTGATAGAAGGACATCTCTCCTACTTCACAGGTCGAAGAAAACCAACTACGTTTTCTGATTCTTTTCTCAGTTCTCGTCAAAAGCTAACTTACTTAAGCGGATCAGACTTTCATGATCAATGAAGTACTCAACTTGTCTAAGTTCTTTAATCCCCGTAACCAGTATAAATGCTGACGAATGTGAGTTTTGAAGGAATAGATATATTTAGAGGGAGAGAAACGCATCCTGAATGTGTGTGCATTGCTAGTGAAAGTATTCATAAGACCATATTATATCGAGATATTTAACAAGTTGAACTATTTCATCACAGATTTATTAACCGAAAATTGGAAAAAATTTCTGAAAAGTAACACAAAGTAAGTGTTATCTACGAGAGAATGCCTAATGAGGTCAAACAAAATGGGGTATTCGGTTCTGAAAAACACTACTTGATATTGTTCACTCTGATCAAGCTTGCTATATATGCTAGTATTTTAGACACCATTTTAATCAAAGTGGTTCCTCTTCAATTATCACAGAAGAGGTTTTGACGTCACTTGTAGTCTTGTCAAATAAGGGTATGTCAGGTTACCATGTATTGACTAGTATCTTCGACAATTTGATTGCTAAAATGTGACCAAATATAGTTAATAACTTGCGAAGTCTGTTGATTTAACTTGCTTCAAATATGAAACGTTTTGGGCACTTGGAGCAATTGTATTTCGTTAATTCTTGGTGTGATATTTTTAAACTAACGTATCATTATGTACAACAACTTAACTAGGAACATAAAACTCTCAATGTCTTCAAAAAAATGCACTCAAGGCTATTAATGCACTGCGGATTTACGGAATGCAAATGATTTCGATTTCATCTTATCGAGAAATACATACTTCCTAATGGTTCAAACCAACTTTTCACCATTCATGAAAGTGTACTAATATTATTTAGAACGTTTATGCTTATGCTTAATTCATTTTATTGATTCATGCTCAATTAATTCTGATTGGCTTCTATAATCTAGACTAATATTTTAGACACAATTAAAAGTAATTCAAAGGAAACGAAATGATGTTTATAAAACTTTATATAGTCTACCAAATGACAGTCAATCTTACTGATTAGACTTGTATTTTAACCAATAAGCTAGAATGTAACAATCATGACTCAGTATATTTTTTTCATAACTGGTTGTAGGTGGTTAGTAGTGAAACATGATATTAAACATGAAACTCTTTGGTTTACTAATAAAAATGGATTATTGTCAGGTAGCTTATGACTGTAGTATTGATATTTTTCAACTTTTGGGACTACATTTTTTATAGTTTGATACTGTAACTAAAATTGAGTGTAAAGATCATTTTTACAGGAAAATTCATGATGAAACAAGAGCATGAATTTTAGCGGACACTAAATAAGACGTACATTAAACTGAATGTGGCAGAACTGAA